AATTGTTTGGGTCTTCTTTTTTCTCCCTTTTTGAAGATGCGGACAACATTTGCCCTCCTCCAATATGATGAGACTTCTCCTGTTCTCCAAGAATTCTCAAAGACTATTGGCAGTGGCTCTGAGATTGTATTTGCCAAAACTTTTAACACTCTTGGATGTAGTTCATCTGACCCTGGAGACTTGAATTCATTTAGATTAACCAGGTATTCCTGTGCTACCTCTTTACTTATTCAGTGCTGCATTTTCCTTATTGTGTCTTCTGCTCCATTTTCCTCAGGTTGAGCACCTTTTTCTTTTTCTGAGAAGACTGAGGAAAAGAAGGTGTTTATTTGTTCTGCCTTTTTTCTGTCCCGTTAGCATTTCAGCATCTTTTCCATGCAGCTGTCCTACCATTTCGTTCCTGTTCCTGTTCATTTCCCTTTCAAAACTTAACTCAATTGAAAAAAAAAAATTAGTCATCCATCCTGATTCCTTGAGACACCTCCCATTTTTCCTCCTCATTGGAACTGTCTGAAATAGTGTCTTTAGTATCTCTCTTTTGAGAAACTCCCATCTGTCCTGAACTCCTTTCTCTTTTACTGTCCCTGGCCATGAGATCAAAACTGGACCCAGTATGTCCCTAGGTTTACTGAAATCAACTTTCCTAAAGTCGAGAATGAGTGTCTAACTATGCTTGGCTTTCCCTTCTCACTCAATGTGTAACAAACTCCAGGAGAACATGATCCCACCACTTGCACCCCATTAACCAGGTCACCCCTGCTGGTTAGGATCAGATCTAAAATAGCTGATCCTCTTGTTGCCTCTTCCACCTTCTGGACAATGAAACTGTGCCAAGCAAGTGAAGAATTTGCTGGAACTTAAATATTTGGCTGAGTTTGACTTCCAGCAAAAATCAGGATAGTTGAAATCATCCATCACTACATCTCTCCTTTCTTAGTATATCGTCATCTGATCTAGAAGAGCATCATCCAACTCCTCAATCTGACTTGGAGGACTATAGTAGACTCTCCCAATAACAGCCCTATTGTTCCCCTCCCCTTTAGTTTTTATCCAGATACTCTCCACCTGGCTTCCAGAATTCAAGTCTTGGATCTCTTCACAAGTGTAAACATCCTTGGCATAAAATGCTACTACTACTCCCTTCCTGTTTGGCCATTTTCTCTTTTTAAAAAGTTATAGCTCTCTGTAATTACATTCCTAGCATGAGACTCATTCCACCAGGTTTCAGTAATGCCTATTATATCATATTTGCTTTATTTTGCTAGATCAACTTCTTATTTCCTATACTTTGTGCATTAGTGTAGAGATATCCAAAACTATGGGCCATTCTCCCTAGCTGCCTTTGTAAAGAATTTTTCTTGTCCCACTGTTGAGACCTTGCACTATTTGACTCAGTGGCACCATCTGCGGAGCCAGTTGTTCACCTCTGCTTTTTTCCTCTCTTCCTAGCCCATGCCCTTCAACTAGAAGAGATGAGATGACAAACTCTACATCCAGTTCTTTCAGCTTTTTACCCAGGTCCTCATAATCCCTTATGATATTCTGAAGGCTTGCAGTGTCATTGGTATCCATTTGGACCAAAAGGAAGGGATAATAGTCAGTAGACTAGACAAGCCTTGTCAGCCTCTGTTACATCAAGAGTTTTTGCCCAATGGAGACAACACACCTCCCGAGAGACCTGCCCAATAGAGACAACACACCTCCCGGAGTCTGTAAACCACTGCTTCTATACCTTGTTCTCATTATAGCTAGGACTTCGTAAGCAAGGAGTCCTTCACCACTATCACATCTCCTCCGAGGCTCAGCAGCATTCATTCTATGTGCTGATTCTACCAATCCCTAAGGACTGGCTGCTCTTCTTTGTCATCACAAATAAGAGAAAGAGATTCAAATCGATTCTGTAACTAAGACTGCAGAATGATTACTGGTCTTCCTACTTCTATGTGTCACATTCCTGCAAATGTATACCTTCTGTGTACAGGAACTGACCCACAGCCCACCCCGAGACTTTGCCTGTGTGCTCCTCATTCAGGACAGTTGGTTATTATGTTATATCTGTTGTGTTCTTAAGCATCTTCCATGTGAGATGTAAAAGTTATCTGCAAATGTGCAGTACACTTCCTTATTGTGTGGGGATTCAACACGTCACAAAGATGCTAGAGTATGGACATTTAAATCTTGTATATTGCCATTAGCTTCCTTATATCTCATGATGTCATGTGAAAAGATACTGTTTATGTCTGCTATACACAAACAGAAAAAGTACTGCTTTTAATTAAAGATCTTTGACTCTGAGAAGGCCTCACCATCATGAAGAGATAGTAATTTTCATTAATTCTCTTCCTTGTGAACATTCACTGTAGAAAGGATCCTCATAGCTGGTTTGTCACTACAGATGGTTTACCAGGCATTCTCCCTTAGCATCTTATCCATTCTCCCATAGTGCTGAAAGGCTGAAATAACAAGCCTTGAAAAGCCAGACAAAGTGGGGGCAATCACATCAGATACAATGGATATAAAAAATGGAACTCAGATAGCCAACCAGATCCCTTTAAGAATCTTATATACAGTACCCAGTACAGAACCCAGCACACAACCTGCCTATTCCCCAGCAACTGGTATTCAGGAACTTGTTGCTTTCTAACCTTATCCTTCACTTGTCTGCACAGCTTGGTGGCCACAACTATATTTTATTACAAATAGGTGGAGAAGTATTTCCTTTTATCTGTCCTGAATCTACTGCCATTCAGCTTTATCAGTTCCAGTATTATGAGAGGGATGAAAGCTTCTCCTTATCCAATATCTTCATAAGTATTTCTTTTTTACACTTACATCATAGACTACTCAAGGGGGGGGAAGTCTGTTGAGTATAAGATTGATTATTCTTGATACTGTGCTCCTACTCCACACATTGATGAATTTCATTCTCTACATTTTATTGCAAAAAAAAATCAACATATTCTTTGAGCATTTCTATCTGAAAAGCAAAGTATGCTATGTAAAGAAACATATTTGAATGTCAGCTTTTATCATACAGAATTTTAAGGTTATTTTAATGCAACACAAACTGATAAGGGAAACATAATACATGAGAACTTCATTGTCTAGCCAATTAGCTAGTTATTTCTTTGAGGCTTTCTGTGCAATTTTAGCCCAGTATGTGTTGGTGATGCCCTGTTCACTATATTCCATCATGATTTCTATTGCCAGTGAAATGCAATTCTTAATGAAGAATTTTTATATCAAGTAATACATTGAAGAACACTCTCCAGTTCTAAAACTTAAATAAAACTTTAATAGCTCTCCATGTACATGCATGAGTAAGGAAAGAAAGGACACAGTATGAGGAATGCATATTTGCTAGCTTTAGCCTTAAAGTTCCCTTTGAACAGGGATAGGCAACCTTTTTGAGCCGGAGGCTGGTCCCGCGAAGTCCTTTTCCCCGCTGGGCCGAGGGGGGGGGAATGGGGGGGCACGTGTGCACCCCCCGCGCACTGCCACCGTCACTGTGCAGCCACCTCCGCACGTGGCACGGCCGCCATTTTGAAAATCAAAATGGTGCTCGCGGCATGCGCGCATGCGCGGCGGCAAAAATGCGTGGCGGCGGCAACCTTCCTCCTGGGCCAGTAAGTACCGGGACCTGGGCCTTAACCGGCCCACGGGCCATAGGTTGCAGGTCCCTGCCTTTGAGTAAGGCTAAACCCCTTCAATAAGGCTAACTATAACATGTGGTAAACATACACCTTCAAATTAAAAGCAGCTGTGTACAATTCCAATATGATATGATAGACAAAAATACTTAGTTAACATTCTTAGAACAAAGAAAGTACATGATTTAATTGTCCATGAAATGCTCAGAAATGCTTTCATATTACAACAATAGGCCAACACATTTTGTCCTATTAATATTTTGAAGCCTTTTTGTTGGATTATTCAAAAAAACAGCATACAGAAATTTCTGATTAGTTAGTCATTAATACAACTTGCTGGCAAATAATTTTTCAGTTGCCACTAACTTAAAAAGCCTGTTTCATCAGTAATGTTTTTTAGGGGGTGGAGGAGGTGGTCCCTTAAAGAAGGCTTCAAAATATTAATAGATTAAAATTTGATAAATTTTCACTCTATAGCATCCACAGATACGTCCCTTTAATATTTGGGTTTAAATGGATGTTCTTCTGTTTCTGTAACAATTTTAAATAAAGGAAAACATGAAGCCATGCATAACCACCACAATGTATATATTATATAGCTTTCACAAAATCAGTTACTCAAGTTACTTTCATTAAATATATAAATACATGCAACAGAACCATACATATATACACACATATATACTACAAACAGGCATACAGAAAGAGGAAGAGAGGGAGGGAAAGAGGGAGGTAACTGTATGGCACTTTATGTAGTTTAATGAATTTGTATATGTGCTCCCATATGTCATTGTTTCTGTTGCTGTTATTCTCTGCCTTTAAGTTGCTTTCCAACTTATGGCATCCCTAAGGCAAACATATCACAAAGTTTTCTTGGCAAAATTTGTTCATAGGGCTTTACCACTGCCTTCCTCTGATCCTCAAAGAGTATGACTTACCCAAAATAAAGGTATAACTGTTTGGTGGATTTCTGATTGCATTTGCTATATGGCCAACACAGCTACCCCTGGATATTTTCTGGATTTTAAGATACCACATTATAGCCGCAAGAGGGGAAAGCTAAAAAGTGAGCCAGTGGACTGGGACATTCCTATTTGAGGTTTCACCCTCTATCAAAGGTAAAACATTTTTTCTTCTTCTTAAATTTGGACTGGATTGGCATGTTTTACCTCAACACCACCTAAAGTTACTGCTGATGCAAAAGCATGAAGGCTTCTAGTGTCCTCTGCCTAACAAAGGGGCCTGTGGTCTCACAAGAACAGAGACATATTGGATTGCAAAGGAAGTGTCTCTGTTGTGATGCAAATTGATGTTAATTTTAAGATACCAAGTCACCCAGTGGGCTTTCATGGCTCAGTGGGGATTTGAACCCTGATCTCCCGAGTACCAGTCCAACTCTCCAACCACTATGCCACACTGGCTCTCATGTGTGTGTGTGTGTGTGTGTGTGTATAAGTTAAAATAAGGTATAAAACAAGCATGAGCTGCAATAAATTTTGCATTAAATTCATTCTAAAGATGCTGTTCATCTTAAAGCTGCTGCTACATTTCTTCTTCTATCATTTCATTAACAGGCTGACTCAAATATTGCTCTGAAACTGCTAAAATAAGGTAGAAAGAAAGACCTGTTCTACCTTACTTTATACATGCATACATTTAGCACAAGTTTCTTGAGGTGTATAAACATGAGAAACAAAAATAAAAGAAACAGTGAGAAATACCAGTTGTGCAAGCTGGGATCAGAAAAGGAAGATGCACTAGTGATCATATTGCAAACATATGTTGGCTAATGGAACACACTAAAGATTTCAAAAGAAAATCAGCTTGTAGTTTATATACTATACCAAAGCCTTTGACTGCATAGATCACGAAAAGCTTATGGATTACACTTATAGAACTGGGTGTATCACTACATTTGATCATTCTGATGTGTGATCTGTATTCAGGACAAGAGGCTACCATTAGAACAGAATACAGAGAAACAGAATAGTTCCCAATCAGAAAGGTGGTCAATGAAGGCTGTATTTTATCACCTTACCCGTTTCACTTGTATGCTGAACAATAGCATATGTAAAGCAGGATTAGATATAGAAGAAGGAAGCATGAGAATTGGAGGAATGCGCATCAACAATTTAAGGTATGCAGATGAAATAATTCTACTAGCAGAAAACAGCAAGAACTTGGAATGATTACTGAATAAAGTCAAAGAAAAAAGAGGAAAGGTAGGTTTATAGTTGAACATTAAAACAAAGATAAAGTACACAGGTGAATCACATCATTTTAAAGTAGAAAACGAAGACATTTAAATAATTCAACAATTTACATACCTCATCTCAATCATTAATCAGGATGGACAGTTACCGTATTTTTCGGCATATAAGA